TTGTCTAAATATGTTTGCAAAGATTTGGTATCTGCTAATTTAAAAATGTAAGGAGCAATTTTTTCACCTTGTTCTTTCTTCAGAATATATAATTCTTGGGTTCCATGGTAGACCTAATGTAAATTAACTTCATATTAACTATTTTTATCTAAAGATGATCCTAAGCAAAAAGACAAATATCACTTTACATTGATAATACAATTGTTATGTTAAACAAACACTATTGATCCCTGAAATCTTTGGTAATACCAATGTTCACTTTGTCTGGTTTTGTTGCAGTATGCCCCACATGATTTTTATTGCTTCTTTAGTTAGAATGCAGGTGCCATTTTTTTCGCATCACACTGTATATTTGAATACATTGTCTTTGAAAACCTTTATGTTCTGTAGAGTCACTTATTGGCAACTGTTTTATTGTAGCAGCCATTTGAATGAGGATTAAAAAAAAATCTGCCAAAGTGGAGTTTGCAGATTCTATACATTTAACAGCCTTTTTTGCAGGTGATGATACATATGTAAGGCATTCAACATTTGCCCAAAAATTCCTATCATTTACTAAGTTATACAAATTAGTTGACATACATCCTGGATCTTTTTCAATCATATTTCTAAAAATATTTTCAAGTCGTAATACAGAATTACAGCAATCCCATGCACTGCTCCATCTTGTTACCACTGATGACTTAAGACCTCCACCCATAATGAATGCTTCAACTATTTCATTACAAAATTGTGCACCTGCTTTATAAGAACCTTGAAAATAACTCACAAACTTTTGACATTGAGATAAAACATTCTTGCCAAAACTAATTTTTTTAACAATATCTGAACAAACTAAGTTTACATGATGTGCTACACATTGTATAGATAATATATGTGGATATTGTTCTGTAACTATTCTTTTTGCTAGTTGCATGTTGCTTGCACCATCACTAATGACAGCAGAAAATCTTTGTGGCCCAATTTCTTCAAAAATTTTTGCAATTTCTTCAGCAAAAAATCCACCAGTATGAGAATAATCTGAAAAATCCCTAATTGAATGAACAAATTGTTTTTGTGATAAAGTGATAATCAAAATTCACAATATGAATGATGTTGGTTACTCTTCCAACTATCAACAACCAAGGATAAGTTTTCTTCACTTTTTAATTCTTTCTCAATTGAAATACTAATTCTTGCAACCTCTTTATCTATCAACTTTGTACTCAATGTCCTACGGTCTGGTGGGTTGTAAGCAGGACACAAATTTTTAATGAAATCAAAAAAAATACATTTTCAACTGTTGCAAATGGTATGCTACAACATACAAAAAATCTTGTTAATGCATTATCACACAACTTTGATTGTCCTTGGCTTATGTTATATTTTTGAAATTGACTGGTTATTCTTGGTTGTAGACCACTAGCAATTTCTAAATCTAATACTCTTTTAGAAGAATTAATTTTTTTACTTTGTTCATTAACTTCATCATTTGAACTTGCAATTATTTGTAAAAATTTTTGTTGTATGAAAGCTGGAACCTGAATACATTGTAATGCAAGATGGGCTATCATAGCTGATGGTCTTCCAGATTTTTTTGTGCCTTCACAATACTTGCATATACTACCATTTTGTTGGATTCAGCTTGAGTACAATTATTTTCATTAATTTGAATTATTTCATAATCAATTTCAGTATTATCATTACTGTTATTATTATCAGGTGATGAAAAGCAATTGTTCAACTCTTGTTCAGTTATTTGAGTAACAAGTTGTAAAAAAATTTATTGAAAATATTGAATTTTTGCTCCTATTTTTAATTGTTAATTTTTTCTAATTCAAATTCTTCAATTCTAATTATTAGAAAACTTCAAATATAATGGGAAATTTGATGTAAATTATTATTACTATCACTAATAATAAACACAGATTTTTTTAAAAAATTAAAACAAATCCTATTATAATTTTTTACTATTTATTATATTTATTTATTATTATTATTCTTATTATTATATATTTACTACCACTATTACTAATTATTGATCAAAAAATTCACTGCCATAATTAATCATTAAAAATTAAATAGGATGTAAAATTTTTTTCATTGATATATTGGAAAAAATAATAATTAAAATAAACCTTAATTTTTGTTTTGGTTAAATTTGTGTCATATATTAATTGGTATTAGTATATAAAGAGAGTAGCCAAAATTATTTATGGCAGCAATTACTATTACGGAATTACGTTAGCCAAAATTATTTATGATAGCCAAAATTATTTACAGCAGCTAAAATTATTTATGGTAGCCGAAATTATTTATGGCAGCCAAATTATTTACAGAGTTGAAATTATTTACAGAGCTGAAATTATTTACAGAGCCGAAATTATTTACAGAGACTGAAATTATTTATGGAATTATGGGTTTTAAACTTTCTTGTCATAATTAATTACGGATTTTTAGAACCATAATCCCATAATTATTACAGAATTATGGTGCCAACTATATATACAAGCAGATTATAATGAATTAAAAGCTTTAAAATCATTTGAAAAAAATAAAATAAAATCATGTAGTATTCAAAATTCAATTGATTGAAATAAAACCTTTTATAATCTTACCTCCTTAGTCTATATATTATGCTTATACATGATTGT